AAAAAAAAAAAAAAAAATTCAAAAAATCTGAAAAAAATATATGTTATGCAGAAGAATAAACTGAAGAACATTTGCCTCAATGTCACATCCAAATTCTTTACCAAATTGGAAATAAAAATCAAATACTAAAAATAAATAATAATAATGAAAATTAGAAAAAATAAAACGAGAATGAAATTATTGAGTGGGCGAGCACGTTTTTGACACTGCCAACTTTGGCGATTTTTTATTTTTTTTTGCGTGTGCGAGGATTCAGATCCTCGGCAGGCCTAAGGGGCCCCTGTTGCATCTGTGCCCGCCTAAGTGAAGGCGGGCCTAACAAATCACGAGAGGCCCTCGACTGTCAATTTCGTATTTGGGGTCCAGGCAGTTTCGTCGCGCCAGTTGGTTGAAGGAAAACACAGGCCAAGCAGCGAGGAAAATTCCCAGGCCTTCTAGGCCTTTCCAAAAGCACAGGCCCTGGGCGAGATTCGCAGCCTCATACACAGACAGTTAAGAGGCCCAACCGAATGACGCCCAGTAGCTGCACCAAAGGCGCAGCATCCTGGGGCCTACCAGAAGCTTCTGGGCCCAGGCCAGTCCAGCCAGGCTGCCGAACGAGGCAGGCTCTTTCCATATAGGAAAGAGCTAGCTGCCTGGCAGGGTAATTCAGGCACTTGCTGGCTGGCGGCAGCGCTGCTGGAGCTCATGCTTGCGTGCTGGCTGCTAACGCTGGAGCAAGGTGCTGCGCACGTGCGGTCGTGTGTGGAAGCAGGGCGCTGCTGAGGGCAGCGCCATAGCCCAGCCTCCATGGCTGGCTGAGGGCTTGGATGTACAGTGAGGCGCCGGGGTGGTCTTCGGGTTTGAAGAGGGAAGACGTGGGTGTCAGACAAGGGAGAGAGAGAAGGATGATGATGATGATGATGTGAGAGCACATACCTGGTATTGGCGATGGTCTGCTACGGGCGACATCTTCAAGTACTTCGTTGGCTGCTGACGTCAACAGTTGCATTGTCAATTAGTAGGCTAGTGGTAGCTGTGTAGGGAGTAGGCTGGGCGCCGAGCGCCAAGTAGGGAGATAGGGCCTGGATACTCGTGTTGGTGGTGGCGAGAGCAAGTTCTCATTAACATTGCTTTTCAGGGTTACGATTCTTCGTTGGTGTTATATTGGTGCAATGCTACTCTCTGGACACTGTGATACTATCTGGTCTTCAATGTGATTGTGCATTCTGTTTATTGTCATCTCGCTATTGCTCATTTTCCTTGCAATTTGTATCGGAGCTGGTTCGAACTGCACTCACTGGTTCTTCCCAGTAGCTGTTCGGTGCTTCGCATGAGGTGTGGGGCAGTGATAAGGCTTGGGCGTTGGACGTAAGGCGGCCCAGGGTCGTGTGGGCGCGCCAGGAAGCTATGWGGTGACATTAGGGGTGTACGCTGGATGATGAGAACTCGCTGATGTGGCATTTAAGCCGAGGCGGAACTGCATTCTGCTGTTAGTTGTGCCGACGCAAAGACCGATCATCATAAATGCACATCAGATTGGCACAACATGAGGTCCACCATAGCCATGGCCACCCTTCCTCTTCCTCTACATGCAGGCCAAGGCTATGGCGGAGCACTGAGGGCTCTACCCTCCTGTCCAAAGGACAACCCAAAGCAGCTATGTCGCTGCCTTTCTGTCCGAAGGTCCACCAGACAGCTATGCCGCTGCCCACTCAACTGCCATGCCCGACTCTGTCCCAAGCTTCCTTGATGCGGCACTACCCCAACTGGGGCCTTCCAGATGCAGCGCCTAACCAGGTGATGAAGATGGTGTCCACCATAGCCAGGTAAGTACCCCGTGACTCTCCTCCTTGGTCCCCTTCTCCCTCCTCCTCCTACCGGTAGAGCTCCACCATAGCCAAGGTGGAAGCTCACGGTTTCTTCCTCCCAGCAGCGCTGTAGTACCCAGCGCTACTCCAGCCAGCGCTCCAGCAGCGTGTCGCCAAACTTGCACACTGAAGAATGAGGCCGAGCTCTTGCCTCGGCCTCTTGATATAGCGGCCTGCTTGCCTCCTGGGCGGTGACTTCCAGGCCGCTCAGCCTCCCAAGCAACCGGTACCTCCTCCCTTTCGGAGGGAAACATCATTGCAGACTCTGATATTGCCCGTACAGGCTCTAGACTCAGACTGGATGGACTGGTACCGGCCTTGACCAAGCCTACCGCTACTGGGCCTCTAAAAATGCCAACTTTGTCTTCTTCTGCTCGGCCCCGAGTACCCGGCACATCTACTGCTACTGGGTGCAGTACCGGCCTACCTGCTACTTGAGTGTTTTTCCGCTGCTCTAAGCACCACAGGCCCCTGGCTCTGCTACTTGAGTGTTTTCCCTGCTGCAACCCTCAATGCCACGGCCACAGGTAAGTGTCGGCCCTACGGCCTGACAAACAAGCAAGTACCCTTGCGGGTCACACACACACTCATGCCGACAAGCACTCAAACAGGCACGCACACATACAGACTTAGAAAACACAGCTGAATGCGAAAATGTCAGCAAGGCATCCATTCCATCGATAGAACTTCAGAAATCAGCAGTGTTCGAGCGAGTAACTCAATCAGAGTCCTTGCATAATGCATCATAAGCGTAAATGGCAAAGAGAGATCGGGTATGTTCCGTAGGAGTGAGGGTAGCAGTGACTTTAGGTTGCTGTTTGGAGCTAATCAGTCGTTCATATGCGTTGACGACTCGCAGGGCACTATGCAGCACGTCTTTCTTAGCGATCCAATAAAAGTCATTCAACGGGTGGTACAGAAAAATGAACTTTGTACTGTCTGTTTCTCCCCTTTCCACTGTGCTTGACAATTCTATCAACCTCGTGACCGCCTCTGATTGCACGAGGAATCATTGACTCTCGGTACTTAAAAGTTTTGGGTGATTCATACGGAAACAACTTTGACGCATGAAAGACTGGGTACGTAAGTAGGTGAGGAGGCACGTCGATTGTGGAAGAAGGACCAAAGGAATCATCTCCTACTCGGTTCAGCACCTTCCACGGACCGTAGTACTGAGGAAGAAGCTTTCGTGATACCCCTTCTTCTTCAGAAAACTCGACATCTTGACCCAGACATAACTTCCCACTGTGAAAGGGTCAGGCTGGCGCTTTTTGTTTGCATGCTTAATCATGGCACTGCGTCGCCTTTCCATAGGTGCGACAACGACTTAGAGCAAACGATCAAACTTAGCGCTATAGCCTGGCTGGCCAGGTGTGGCGGATCAGGAAACAGATAGGATAGGGGATTGCGAATTTGCCATCCGAGGTGCAGTCGATTAGGTGTCATCCCTGTGGAGGAGTGTATGGAGTTGTTGTACAGTCCTTGCACAATCAGCAATTCCTCATCCCAAGAGTTCTGATCAGGCACAATTAGAGCTCGGAAAAGTTGGATCACAGTCTGGTTGACCTCCTCGGCCAGTCCATTGGCTTCGGGATGTCGGTCATACGTCATCTTGAATTTGATGTCGTAGATTTGGGAGGTGAACTCCTTCCAATCTGCACTTATGAACCTAGTGTCCCGGTCACTCACAAGAGTTTTCGGGGGCCCATACTGCAGAATGTACCTTTTGTGAAACTCCTTGATCACAACATCAGTTGGGCCGTGAGGTGGTAATGGAATCAAATTCAGAAACTTTGAAAAATGGTCAATGATCACCATTACTTGTGAGTATCCATTCCTGCTCTTCTTTCCCATGTCCATGAAGTCGATGGAAAGAGACTTACCCGGGCCATCAGGAATAGGAAGAGGATGCAGCAGCCCATAGGGCTTTTGCCGAGACGATTTCATGCGTTGACAAACTTCACACTCAGCCACAAACTTTCGTGTCATTTCTTTCATCCCGGGCCATACAAACTTTTGCAATAGACTTTCGTATGTCTTTTCAAAACCAAAGTGTCCACTCCGGTCGTGAGCCAAGTCCAAGAAGTGAGTACGGATAGGCTCATGGTTGGGTACACACAGTCGGTCGTACTTCCCGTAACGTCGGAAAAGTAAACCTATACATTCGTGGAAATCAGGTTGGCTGCTAGGGTCAATCTGGATCTGCTCAGGGATGGGACTGAGTTCCGGATCCTTGGCAGTATGCTCAATGAGTTCCTCCTTTAAGTTCTTACAGAGATCATAGGAACCCACAAGGCAAGTCATGTATTCAGGATGACGAGACAAAGCATCCGCAACGCGATTGTAAGAGTCTTTCTTGTGCTTAAGTTCAAAGTCATACACAGTAATCTCATGCATGCAACGGGTCAAAGTAGTTGATGGGTTATTCTGCGTCTGGATCCATTCAAAGTCTCATGGTCTAAGAACACTTTGAAATGGCGACCCAAGAGGTAGTGTTTCCAATGATCTACTGCCTCTCTCAAAGCATAGAGTTCTTGCATGTAAGTGGATGCAACTACCTTGTGACTGACATGCGTTTGCTGTAATACTCAAGCAGGCGTAAGCCGTCACCATCATCTTGTTGCAGCATTGCACCAATCCCATACAAGCTTGCATCCGTAGTTACTACGAACGTAAGTTTGGGATCTGCAATGTGGAGCACCGGATGACTCACCAAAGCCTCCTTCAATGCTTGGAAGGCTGTTGTGCATTCCCCATCCCACGTGTAACACGCATTCTTGCTTGTCAATCTAGACAGCGGACGGGCGATGATAGAGAATTTGGGCACAAACTTACGGTAGTACGACACAAGACCAAGAAAAGAATGCAACTCTCGGACATTTGTCGGTTGAGGCCATTTGCGAATGACCTCAACTTTGGTTGCCTCGGGCTCTAGGCCTGCAGCAGACAACCGATGTCCAAGGTAGATGACACTGTCCCTCCTAAACTCAGATTTCTCCAAGTTGAGATGGAGTTGCGCATCCTTAAGGATCTCTAACACTTCCTCAAGATGTCTCATGTGTTCCTCCATCGACTTGCTGAAGATTAGTATGTCATCCAAATAAACAACAAAATCGATTGATCTGATTGTGGAACACCTTATCCATGAGACTTTGAAAATTGAAAGGTGGCTGGTGCATTCGTGAGGCCGAAGGGCATGACGGTAAACTCGTACAGCCCATCGCGAGTTTTGAATGCAGTTTTATGTTGGTTTGCAGGGTCGACTTCAATCTGGTGGTAGCCAGACTTGAGATCGATCTTGCTGAAGACCTTGCATCCACCTGCAGCATCAAGCAGATCATCAATACGCAGCAAAGGATATGCATTATTTTTTGTTATCCTATTCAGTCCGCAGTAATCGATACACATCCGTAGTTTGCCTCCTTTCTTCGGGACAAACAGAATCGGTGCACTGAATTCGGATTCGCTTGATTTGATTCATCCCTTCCCAATCATGTCATCGATCTGTCTTCGCAACCCTTCCAATTCGCTTGAGCCCATTCAATAGACAACCTTTTGGAGGACCGCTACCTTCTATCAACTCGATCTTGTATCCGACCGGACGCACAGGGACTCCATGTGGTTCGGCCAAGACTTCAGGAAATCAGTTGAGAAGGTTGCGGATTTCTGATGGGATTTCCGTAGGTGGATCATCACTTTCAGGTGCAAGCATACCGGATTGCATAGGTGCAGCCAAAACAACAGAATTTGAAGCAGAGTCGTTTGGACTAGAAGTAGATTTAGTAGAGGTAGAAGTAGTTGCATTAGAGGTAGAAACGACATGCAAAGTAGAATCATTATGTACAACAAAAATAGAAGGCACATGAGCAGGCCTAACAAAGGCTATATACATTTGCTCATCAACTTTGTGTCTACGCCACTTTTGCAGAATCGCATTGCATTGAGAAAAGTTACTTGGGACTCGCGCGGCTCATCCAAGAGGATTGGAAGCTCGATTCCCATGGCATCTTTGACCATGAATTGTGAATCCTTCCACGTGGTTCTTTCACATTGGGCCTGCAACCAGCCCAAGCCAATAACCGCGTCGAAAAGGCACTTATCAAGGACATAGAAGTTCAGCTCATGCGTGATTGTTCGGTCTACGTCAAAGGTAGTGCGCACACCTTTGACTGCATGCGTAGATGTGACAACCTCTTGGTTGCCCACTTGGGTCCGACAAGGGTTCTGCAAGGTCACTTGCTTAATTCCCAAGCGTGCCTTACGAATGTCGTGCGGTGAGAAGTACAGTTGCGCCACAATCAGCCAACGTACGGATGTAACGGTCGTTAATGCGGAGTTTGAAGAAGATCAACTTCGTTTTCCCTTGCACGCGTTCTTGCTTCATGTGAGCCCAGCGCGTCAAGAGAGCATGAAAGTCAATTTTTCCGACTGCACCCAAGGCTCCTTGTATAGGATGTGCACTTTCTCAGCCTTGGAATCAGCATCAGATGGGGTCTCAGGAGAGGTTTGCTAAGTGGGATCAGAATCGAGTGAAGGATCTGCACTTGCATGTTCAACCTCTCCGTCTGTAGAGTGTGCTGATGATGTCTCTACCCCCGTTGCTGGTTTCTCTGATGCAATCTGAAGCAATGTTGGACTAAATGTCCCAGTTTGGTGCAATGCAGCCAAACCCCTTTCTTCACCCTGTGTTTCCACTCACTTTCACTTATCCGGAGATCTACCCATGATTTTGTGGCAGGATCTTCCGGTTTGGGTGGAATCTTCGCTCCCTTGGGAAGGAGAATGGTGTTAGTGTTGTTCTTCACTATGGTCCTTGGTCCTTTACTTTTTAAAGGCAGTCTTCTTGAAGGCATTCATAGATTCATCGCCATTTACATACTCAGACTCATGGGTTGATGAAGAGCATGATGCCTCGCAGTCTTGCTCTTGATCATCATCAAGAGAAGGGTCCTCTCTGAAGGTCTCCTCGTCAACCTCAAGTAGATCGTGCGCTGCAAAACGGTTGCTACTTGGAAACCGTTTGCGGTCGGTGGTCTTTTTGCCACCCGATCCACCCGGGAGGTCTTGTGCCTCCAGCTTGACTAAATCCCGCATGAGGGTAAGCCAATCTGTATACGTTATGAGTATGAGCCCAGGCGATGTGTCACAGTAGAGGGGACCGTACCTTTTATCACATCCAAGCAAGACTATGCAGTCATCTCCAGATCCAGAGTAACAAAGAGTTTACTAACATACTGCTGCAGATTATGCATGGTGTCAGTCCACTTGTTGTGCTTGAGCTTGTCAAGCTTAAGTCTAGCTTTGGTTGCAGTATGTGGATCAGCATATTGTTTGATCAAGAGTTCCTCGAGTGCGGCTATAGGCGTAGCCTTCAGCCATTTGTTCAGGTATATTCTTTTATAGCCTGACTGTATAACTTGGACTTCTAAGAAGCCCCTTACGGGGGGTTCCACATTCGTCCCTAGGACCGACGACTGAGTCACTGGGGGTGTCCCCAGCTTATCAAAGTAGGATCGCATGGAGCTAATCCAAGATTCAATGTCGTATTTTCCGTCATACTTAGACGGAATCTGTGTCGCCTTCCTTTCCACATAGGGAAAGCTGCAGCTAGGACCAACGATTGTTGGGTCCGAATTCGGAACTGCAACAGTTCCAGAATGCCCTGCACTGCCACTTGCCGCTGCAGCAGCAGCAACAACAACAACGGGGTCTGAACCTGCTGCAAATTCGGTTATTTTGTTGGCCACACTCAAAGAAGAGAAAGAAGAAGAAGAAGATACAGTTAGAGGGGCAAGAACATACTGACACGCAGCACTAGACGCAGGGTACGCATGCGGAAGGACACTTTGGGCCGGCTGCAAGCTAGCAAACCGTTGCAGCTGGTCATGGTGCTGCTGCGCCATCAGGGTCATATCCTCGCGCAACTTCTTGAGTTCATCAAACACCTTGGCGAGTTGGCCTCTTCAACAGCCCGGACCTCTACTAAAGCCCTGAGAAGTGGGACAGTCTTCTCTTCCACCTCATCACCAGTTAAGGCGGGCACGGTACTGAAGACAGCTTCATGAGCCTTTACTTTGTCTCTTTTTTTCCTTCTCCTTCTCCTCCTCTTCCCTCTTCAATGCTTTTTCATAAAAGAACTGGTACTACGCTTTCTCTGCCTCAGGGGCAACGTCCATTTGCAGCTTCCATTCTGCTGCAGATGCCATGATGGAGGATGAGAGTGTTAACAAGTCTCTCAAGAGGGGTCCGCATTTCCTCACACTTCTGGGACGAACGCTCCTCTTCCCTCTCCTCACTCCCTCAAGAGCAACACTCATAAGTTTTTCTCTTTTCTCTCTCTCTCTTATTTGCGATCATGTAGACGCAGGCACTTCACAAACCCAATGAAAGAAACAGTTTGAAATCAATGAGAAGAGAAGGTAGAACTCCTAGCCAGAGCGGCAATTCATTTGGATTGGAGAGCAGTCAAAACAAAAAAATAAAGATCAGAGAGATCTGATTCCGCCACACAGTTTGGTCCGACAACGTATGAGGTCCTCTCAAGCCTAACAGGACTCAGCTCCGTAAAGACACAGCAAATCAAATTCGAAGTGTACTACGTAAATGCAAGAGAGAATTGAGTGGTGTCCAAGGTGCGAGTCAAGCGGCGAATCGTGCGATAAAACGTCTCACTTGAGATCCCCTCAGCAGCGAGTGTCCTGGTCCAAAAACATGAACTCCGAGTCCCAATCAGATAGAGCGAGGTAACTGACGTCAACAAATTTGGGCCTAAGGGGCCCTTCTTGTTTGGGACCGGTCCCACTGAGTTCCAAATGGTCCCAGTGCAGTCAAAACCGGGTCCCAACCAACAAGAGTTCCACAAAGACCTGCTTTTTGCCCCTACTGAATTGAAAAACGAAATTTAGCCCCAGAAAGAACCTATAGACTACAGCCGTTCAGAATGAAATAAACGAAGCACTGTAGAGAGAGATAGCATGGCAAGCAAGATACTCCATTCATTCACTCGTCAGGTGAGTAAGCAGTTCACACACCTCACACAAGATCAAGACTATGGAGGATGGAAGAAGAACCTAGAATACCCCAGCAGGCAGTCAATTCCATGGACACACACATGGGCACCCTGGCG